ACAGAGCTCTGGAGTTCCTCTGTGGAGATGGGAGAACCTTCCAGAAGGACAACCATCTCCGCAGCACTCCACCAATCAGGCCTTTATGGTAGCGTGGCCAGACGGAAGCCACTCCTCAGTAAAAGGCACATGACAGCCTGCTTGGAGTTTGCCAAAAGGCACCTAAAGACTCCCAGACCATGAGAAACAAGATTATCTGGTCTGATGAAACCAAGATTCAACTCTTTGGCCTTAATGCCAAGCGTCACATCTGGAGGAAGCTTGGCACCATCCCTACGGTGAAGCATGGTGGTGGGAGCATTATGCCGTGGGGGTGTTTTTCAGCTGCAGGGACTGGGAGACTAGTCAGGATCGAGGCAAAGATGAACGGAGCAAAGTACAGAGAGAACCTTGATGAAAACCTGCTCCAGAGCGCTCAAGACCTCAGACTGGGGCGAAGGTTCACCTTCCAACAGAACAACAACCCTAAGCACACAGCCAAGACAACGCAGGAATGGCTTCGGGACAAGTCTCGGAATATCCTTGAGTGGCCCAGCCAGAGCCTGGACTTGAACCTGATCGAACATCTCTGGAGAGACCTGAAAATAGCTGTAAAGCAACACTTCCCATCCAACCTGACAGAGCTTGAGAGGATCTGCAGAGAAGAATGGAAGAAACTCCCCAAATACAGGTGTGCCAAGTTTGTAGCGTCATGCCCAAGAAGACTCAAGGCTGTAATTGCTGTCAAAGGTGCTTCAACAAAGTCCTGAGTAAAGTGTCTGAATACTTATGTAAATGTGATTTTAAAATGTTTAATATACACTACCAGTCAAAAGTTTGGACACATCTACATACAGAAGATATCACTATTTGGTAAAAGACCAAGTACATATTATGGCAAGAACAGCTCAAATAAGCAAAGAGAAACGACAGTCCATCATTACTTTAAGACATGAAGGTCAGTCAACACAGAACATTTCAAGAACTGAACGTTTCTTCAAGTGCAGTCTCAAAAACCATCAAGCGCTATGATGAAACTGGCTCTCATGAGGACTGCCACAGGAATGGAAGAACCAGAGTTACCTCTTCTGCAGAGGATAAGTTCATTAGAGTTACCAGCCTCAGAAATTGCAGCCCAAATAAATGCTTCACAGAGTTCAAGTAACAGACACATCTCAACATCAACTGTTTAGAGGGGACTGTGTGAATCAGGCCTTCATGGTCGAATTGCTACAAAGAAACCACTACTAAAGGACACCAATAAGAAGAAGAGACCTGCTTGGGCCAAGAAACACAAGCAATGGACATTAGACTGGTGGAAATGTGTCCTTTGGTCTGGAGTCCAAATTGGAGATTTTTGGTTCCAACCACTGTGTCTTTGTGAGACGCGGTGTGGGTGAATGGATGTTCGCTGCATGTGTAGTTCCCACCGTAAAGCATGGAGGAGGGGGTATTATGGTGTGGGGGTGCTTTCCTGTTGACACTTATTTAGAATTCAAGGCACACTTAACCAGCATGGCTACCACAGCATTCTGCAGCGATACGCCATCCCATCTGGTTTGGGCTTAGTGGGACAATCATTTGTTTTTCAACAGGGCAATGACCCAACACACCTCCAGGCTGTGTAAGGGCTATTTTACCAAGAAGGAGAGTGATGGAGTGCTGCATCAGATGACCTGGCCTCCACAATCCCCCGACCTCAACCCAATTGAGATGGTATGGGATGAGTCGGACGTTAGAGTGAAGGAAACGCAGCCAACAAGTACTCAGCATATGTGGGAACTCCTTCAAGACTGTTGGAAAAGCATTCCAGGTGAAGCTGGTTGAGAGAATGCCAAGAGTGTGCAAATCTGTCATCAAGGCAAAGGGTGGCTCTTTGAAGAATCTCAAATATAAATATATTTTGATTTGTTTAACACTTTTTGGGTTAATACATGATTCCAAATGTGTTATTTCATAGTTTGATGTCTTCACTATTATTCTACAATGTAGAAAATAGTAAAAATTAATTAAAACACTTGAATGAGTAGGTGTGTCCAAACTTTTGACTGGTACTGTATATAAATTAGCAAAAATTTCAAAAACTGTTTTTGCTTTGTCATTATGGGGTATTGTGTGTAGATTGATGAGGGGGGGGGGGAATGTTATCAATGTTTGAATAAGGCTGTAACCTAACAAAATGTGTAAAAAGTCATGGGGACTGAATACTTTCCGAAGGACAGGTTAGCTAAGGACAGGTTAGCTAAGACTAAGTCAATTTGTTGAATGAATGTTGGCCTACTCCAGTGGTACAGTATCTGCAAAATGATAATTTATTAACAAGCAATATTCCAGCCATAGTGACCTTCAGAGCAAGGTTTAAAAAGTGATTCATTCATATGACACATCTTGCAGCCGTTCAATATGTTTCCGACTGATCAGTGGAATTTTTTTAAAACCTACAATGTGGTGGTGTGCGTGTTTGTATTTGCTCTCAGCAGCTTAGTATGATCATATTTAGGCTAGCTACCTCAACCTCCTGCAGCTGCTCCTGGTTGGTGGAGTACATCTGCTGCAGCCCCTGCTCCAACTCATGGTTCCGGTCCAGCAGGGTCTTACCCAGCTGAGCCGCCAAATGGAGATCTGTAAACACATACACGCAAACAAAACACATATTCATTGTATATACACTAAACATGGATCAGTTAACACTTTCACACACAGTATGTTAGCCCAATATTGGGCTAAAGGAACCTAACATTACTCCTTATAGTCCAAGGACCTTACATGTTTTGTTTAAAAGTGAATTGGCTCTGGAAGCCAAAACAACCAAATACTACATCTAAATGTGAATTGATTCTCAATTGCGGTATGGTTCTAGAAAAATAAATAAATCCCTCTACTTTCATATCACATCAAAATGATTTTGAAAAATGCAAAATACACACTCACTGAACACCGTTTTAAGCGGTTTTAACACAGTTGCAGCCGACAGTATTTTTCAGTGACAACATGTTTGTGGCATCTGACTTCTGTTTACACACAGGTGTTCGGAGACGGAGATAGCTAATTAGCACAGGTAGTCCACTCTGTCTTCCGTCTGTTTTCCATAAATAAGTGCTGTAACATGGAAATATGGCCGTGTGGGAACACTAACCAAATAAAGGTGTATCAATTTAACCTTTTGTTTTGTATAACGCAAACGTCTATCAACCCAAAGGTTACGAGTTCGAATCTCATCACGGACAACTTTAGCATTTTAGCAACTTTTCAACTACTTACTACTTTTTTTTAGCTACTTTGCAACTACTTAGCATGTTAGCTAACCCTTCCCTTAACCCTTTTAGCTAACCCTTCCCCTAACCTTAACCTTTAACCAGATAGCTAATGTTAGCATCCTAGCCACCTACCTAGAATTTGTAATATATCATACGTTTTGCGAATACGTAACATATTGTACGTTTTGAGCATTTGTAACATATATTACAAATGGTAATTCGTAACATATCATACGAAATGGGTGATGGACATCCACAAATTAATACATAACATACGAAACGTAATGAATCATACTGAATGTAGTGTATCGGATTTACATACAGAATTATACAAAAAGCTCTGAGACCAGGTTGCAGTCAGCCAGCCAGCTAATGTAATGGAACTGCGAGACATGATCAAGGTCTAACAGTATGTATGCCTGCAACAACATACAGGTGCACAATAATAATGCAGTACACAAATACATGCAAATAGTGCCCAAACAAACTACAAAAGCTGTAGCCTACACACACATACTACACAAGACACATACAGGACACAATAATCAACACATGGGAAGTGACAGCCTTAGGATATCCTGGCAACAAGAAGGCTCTCAGTAATTCTCAATGTAGACCCCACTACTACTGACTATGTGTGAGTGTCACAAGAGTGTTACCCTTTACAATAAGATATGTGTGCGATACAAATCACTCAGATTATTTGTTTAAATTCTAACAAAATATGTTTTTTTTAATGGAATGGATGTGGGTCTATGAAAGGGTATCATGAGGCTTGTGGTTGCAATGTTGGCAATTGCATGTCATCAGCAATTACTGTGAGGCTATTCACTGATTTTGTCTAGGACATTTTAAAATTAAATTGTAATGATTTTCTAATCTGTAATCTCAGATGATCTGATATATCAATCCAGACTGTAGAATAGTGGAATTGTATTGCAATAAGAGGCTGGGGGTTGTTCTCTCCCAGTTGCGGCTGTTTAGGGCGCAACCGGGCTATCCCTCCCTTCAACGCCCGCAACACAAGTCTCTTACCGTGCTCAAGGTCCTGTTTGCCATACCATGGCTCCTCGTCCTTGAGCTCAAACTCTTCCTCCACTATCATATCAGTCAGCATTTCCCCCTGACAATTGTATTCCAATAGAGAGAGTGCGCGCTCCACCCGGCAGAATCCTAAAACACCGGTGTGATAAACAGCCTGGAGTGACCGGACAATATCCTCCAGTGGCGTAGTCCGGTGTCTGTTTGCGGCAACGTGGCAATCTGTGCAGCCCGAGAACGAACTCAGCCACTAAGGAAAAAGCGACACTACTTTTTTAATGACAGTTCATTAACCAATAATTAGAAAGTAGGTTGGACCAGAGCACCTTTTTGTCCAATGTTTGTTTGCTATGGTTCGGTCACATGGGTTATTGCCCCGCCCATTTCCGCATTTACAGAAACAGGTTTGATATCTGCAAGCGAGGAGAGGAGCATAATTTGTTATTTTATATTAACACATATTTCTAATTGTGTATTCATCAGTGATGTTATCTTAATTTGTAAAGTCTGTTTGCTGACCAAGCCGAAATAGTAGAAATCCTGCACGCGACTCCAGTACTTTTGCCATGGAATATGAATAGCTGTAAACTCAGTTTCTTTAACTCACCTGCTGTGTAGTCATATAGATTTTTCACTCAAATGACACTCGACTCACTTTGCAAATATGTGGTAATTAAATGAGATCAAAGTGAGTAGCCTGGAGAAATTAAACCACCACCAGGCATGACCGTGGAGAAACCAGCCGCAGGTGTTCGCACCTTCGGCGGCCTTAACATCCTGGGGCACCTGGCGAGTCTGGGGGCTCACCCTCCCGCAGTGGCTTACTCCATGACCACCCTGGGAGCAGGCATGATGAACAGTATATTTAGCTTCTACTATGTCAAGCTGTTCCTCAACAAGTACAACATATCAGAGGGAGCTTTCCATCAGTCACAAGTGAGTACTGTACTACAGTAACAGATACTGTAAACTTTCTGGGCATTAGGTAGCCTAGTGGTTAGAGCGATGGGCCAGTAACTGAACCAAATTATTATTTATTAAACAGCAACTGTAGCCGTAGGGCCCTATGACTATTATGTACTTGCATAATAGTAGGCCTACATTGTACACTGCCCAATAATAGTATGTCAATTCAAAATGGGACTAACTGGCTTGATATGTCAATGCTCAATGGTAGTGAGGAAAGTATGCACAATGGTATTCTTGGCCATGCAGCTTGCTCACACTTTTATTAAGTGGAACGAACCACACATGACAGCATATACAGTCCTTAGACATGTAATTTGGGCAATTGTGCAATATTAGCAACTTCGAGATACACATTTCTATGCAAACAAGACAATTATTATGTCATCCTTCTTTGTCATCTCTTCATCCTGACAGGTGGTGTACATGGTGTGGAACGCAGTGAACGACCCTCTGTTCGGCTACCTGCAGGATAACTCCCGCGTACCATGCTGCTCTCAACGTCGTCTCTCCATCTTGTATGGTGCTCCCTTCTACGCACTCGCCTTCCTGCTCGCCTGGTTCCCATGGCGAGAGTACGCCCCCGGCGACTGGATGAGCGGCGTCCACCTAATGGTGGCGTTGTGTGCGTTCGATGGGATGCTGACGTTTGTGTTGCTGGCACAGTGCGCCCTCTTTGCAGAGATATCAGGCCACCACCAGAGCAGACTGAGACTCATCAAGTACAACCAGGTAGAAAAGGGAGGTGTTTTGTGAAGTGTTTCTTTTACAAGTTTCATTTTAGCTGTATAAGGTATTTATTTTGTTGTCTGAAGTCAGTAAAGTGTTCTCACGTTTATCTCCTCTTCCCCCTCCTCTCCCCAGGTGGCGTCCCTTATAGGTTCCTCCAGTGTTCTATTCTGCGGCCTCCTCTCCCAGAACATGGATGACTTCCCATCCTTCCAGGGCTTCACTGTCCTGGTGGCTGTTCTGGCCTGTGGCTGCATGATCTACACAGGCCTACACAGTGAGAGCCGCTTCGACACCAAAGAGTCAGCACCGGGGTCAAACGACCAGGGTTCTGGCCAGTCAACTCTTTCCTTCTCCTTGGTGACCTCTATGACCTTGCAGATCATTACCAATAGGGACTTCCAGCTCTTTGTGCTCATGAACTTCTTCCAGGTCAGAAAAAAGACTGGGATACAGCCGCTCAATGGGGCCACAGAATGTGGGCACATATCACTTGGTTTGTTCTGTTAATGGGGATATATGAGTGTGTACCACATCTGACCATTACATTTATATTTCCTATCCATTGCACTTTTTCCAGGTCTTCATGGTGGCATTCTATAATAACTTCACTATGATCTTCGCCGAGCATCTGATACCCCCCAACGTGCTGCCATCACTGGCCAAGAGCTTCATGTATGGAGCTGGCTTTATCTGTCCTCAGGTAACATACCGCAGCTCAAAACCCTTTATACTGAGTGGAGGGAGTCACTAACCTCACTCAGCACCACCAGTGTATTGCATGGAGTGCCTTGCCAAGTGCTGACCACACATTAGACCACCTATTTTCTAGCATTGCCTTGTTGATTTATTCCCATGGTGTTACTTACTGTACTGTACCTTACTGTCATCTCTGTGGTGTGTCTCTCTCAGTTGGTGGTGCTGAGCAGTCAGAGCCTGCTCCAGGGCCTGGGCTACTACAAGATCATCCTGCTCACCTTCTACGTAGAGGCTGGCATGGCTGCCGTCATGCTGGTGCTGGGGCCACATCACTACTACATTCTGGCATTCTTCCTGACCGCTAACATGTAAGAAGTTATGTTATCGAATTGTCATTGTAATGTTATTATATCATCTATTTATATGTTATTGTAGTCACTGTCATTAATGACAGTGATTGTCCACATATATCAGTGTCAGTTATGTAATTCAGTAACATGATTTGCTCCATGAGTTGGATATACAACAGCGCCATTTTACAACTGTTTGCTTTATCACACAAACACTTTAATTGTAAAAAAAAATTAATTACAAAAATATCTTTGTCGCCATTAAGGGTCCTTGTCCAGGCAGCCTTCAGTCTGTTTAACCTGCCTCTGGCTGACATTATCGACTCAGACCTTCAGAGACACAAGCGCAGGTAAACCCAGGTCTGCTGTGTCACAGTTATAATAGTGCCACATCAGCACACAGTGAACTCCACCCGCCCAGCCATCCATTATAGACAGACAGTAATAGAACACTACTCCCTCAGGGGTGTCGGCAGGTAGCTTAGTGGTTAAGAGCGTTGTGCCAGTAACCGAAAGGTCGCTGGTTCTAATCCCCGAGCCGACTAGGTGAAAAATCTGTCGATGGGCCCTTGAGCAAGGCACTTAACCCTAATTGCTCCTGTAAGTCACTCTGGATAAGAGCGTCTGCTAAATGACTAAAATGTAAATGTAAAATGTTCTGTAGGCTAACACTGAGCTTCATAGGCAGTGCTACAGTACCTAACAGCCTCCCTTGTAAGGGCACCTACCTAACATTACAAAAGTAACTGAGGCTGTATGTACTTTGTAGGGCACATTAAGTATGTATTGATATTAACCCACCAAAGTAAGTGTGGAAGAGGTATGCTATTTGGACTTCAATTGTAAAATGTTACAATGAATGTGCATCTCTAAGTCACGTAAACACAGTGATGGATGTAAACACTAGCAAGGGTATGACTAAAAATGCCTTGAGCCCTTGATGGAAAATATAAATCCAATCATTCTAATCCATGATTAGTATTGTCATTGTTATATCCTCCTTATGACATCAATGTAAGTGGATCAAGTATTAAAGCCTTGTTGTGTCCTTTCCCTCTGTGTCCTCTACAGCTCCCCCCTCTCCTCCATGGTGTTTGGGACCAATGCTCTGTTCACTAAACCAGCCCAGTCTCTGGCTCCTATGCTGGTGGTCTCCATCCTAAACCAGTTTGGCTACGAGAACCTCAAGGACGCTGGGAGGGATGCAAACCCCAGGTAAGGGCTGCTGGGAGGGTTGCAAACCCCAGGAAAGGGCTGCTGGGAGGGATGCAAACCCCAGGTAAGGGCTGCTGGGAGGGTTGCAAACCCCAGGTAAGGGCTGCTGGGAGGGATGCAAAACCCAGGTAAGGGCTGCTGGGACAGATGCAAACCCCAGGTAAGGGCTGCTGGGATGGATGCAAAACCCAGATAAGGGCTGCTGGGAGGGATGCAAACCCCAGGTAAGGGCTGCTGGGAGGGATGCAAACCTCAGATAAGGGCTGCTGGGAGGAATGCAAACCCCAGGTAAGGGCTGCATCTCAATAGTCTAAAATGGCCTCTCCTTATCTCCTTTTTGCTAATGTCGTAGAAATATTTGACTCAAAAGTAGTCAACTTAAAAATATTTCTCAAGAGACTGGAGCTTGTGAATAAAAAAATTAGACTTTTATTATTTGCATAACAAAGCCGAGCTTGCTCCATGGAGCAACTGCTTGCCCTGAACCGGAGCTCTCCTTTTATACAGACACAAATGCATAGTCAACATACATAGTTACTTCTCTCTATGTAAATGAATAACATATTTTCATTATCACATGTTGGCTACTCACGGGGGCTACTTGCGCTTCTCTAAATGGGGCCACTGTATCTTATTAGTGGCGTGACTGAATTATGTACATACGTACATTAAAGAACAATCACACTCTGTATTGACTATATTCACTATCCAGACATATATCTGAAGTACAAAGTATTAATCATGTTCATTCTGTTTTACCTTTATCATTTCATAACACATTATAAAACATATCAATTAATACTTAAACATGGTTTAAACATGTCATCCGTAACCCATTCTCAACCACATACATTTAAGCATTTATCATTTACCATCCTCCCTGGCCCTTGAGATTATGTGCATGTGGCTATGTGTCAGGTCATAAGCACGAACAAATGATAACACTAGTTCCATTGTTACTCTAATCTTCACACAGCCACCATGAGGAGTTGTATCTCCATCACGTCATTGACATACCCAGACCAGCTGCAGGGAGTTATGAAAAACACATAAATGTCTCTGCTCTGTATTAACCCTTCAACTGGTTCTCAATCCATAAACATTTAAGGTATATAGGTGTTTCATTCTACCATATATTCCCCCCTGTTGGGACTCTATAAGTCCCAACCAATAAAACAAAAGTTAACATAAAATGAGTGTAAGCATGTGCATATACTTATTCTTAGCCTTGCCATCTGTGGTTACATGTTTATAAGAATATATATTCAGACCAATGTATCTTCCTCATTGTCTGACCCATCCTGATGAGGACCCAGAGCCCAGTCAGGTATTGGTTACGAGTCTGGAAGGTTTTCCTCTAAATTAACCTCCAAATTGTTCTATTGAGCTTTGTAACCATTGCTCCCCTTTTTGTTTTGTTGTAGCATTTCCAATATACGTGGTAGTATCCTAACACATCAAAATATATAAGAAATAAATGCAACTTTGTTTTAACCATAACATCTAGGACATGTTAAGAATAGTGTCAACATCTTTAGCTTACATAACCTTTTTTACCCATATCACAATTATTATAACAATCAAAAGAATCAATATCAATATCTAATCAATTAATTGCAATGTCAACATCATTAGTTATTAACATTAATAACTTATTCAAATCAATCAGTCACCTTATAATTCATAGTCATTATCAGATTAATTACCCAAAACAAATTTAGAATGACAATTCTTAGTTATTCACTTTGGTTCCATCATTCAAAGTTAAATCTCTCACCTTGGCACATATTGACACTGGCAGAATGTATATTTATACTATCATAATTCTAGCATTAACTTCCTCATAACGAGAATTACAACAGATCATTATCTTAATGCATTCCTAGTCTAAATTACTATAAATTTAGCAGTGTATAATACCTCCTTAATCAACATACTCCCTTACTCTACCGGCACTCAATCTTCTGGCGTCTTCATTATGTTCTTCAGATAGCTTCATAGTTCATCTTGGATTGCCCATGTCCCAATTCCAATGTCACACCTGAGCCGCCCCACCTCCACCATCATTCTGTTTTGTCCATTTGCAAACCAGTATACCCAAACTACGAAGAACGTTGCATTTGCATAGACCTCTCTCCTCCTGCTCACTCCACATGGACTCCTGTCACATTCTTGAGAGAAAAGGCACAAAAGAGAAGGCAATTGATTGCTTTGATTTGATGCTGGATTCAGGTCTCCTGGCAGAGGTGGTGTCGGACAGGAGCGTCTTCACCGCCTTTGTTGTTCCTCTTCAGCCGGGTAGAGGGTTTTTTGTTTTTATTGAGGTTCACACCGCTCTGGACCGAATTATTTCTACTATGCATTATGACACCATCCGTAATAACATCTTGAATGTCTGGAATCTCTCGGTGGTCTGGAATCTCTCGGCGGTCTGGAAGGTCTTGGAAGTCTCGGTGGTCTCCTAGTCATCAGTTCCCTCACTCTGGTACAATGGTTTAGATGATACCCGATCACGCTCCCCTCTATCCGTACCGCCGTTGGTGTAACCTGGATGACGATGTATGGTCACATTAGCTGTTAACCTTCCCCATCACTAGGGTCTCCAGATCAGCCAGAGTCCCTCTCAATCTATCGACATCAGTCTGCGAAGAGTGTCCTTCTATCAGCTTACCCATAGGGAAGCTTGGAGTTACTGCTGCAAAGACACAAGCACAGACACACACAAAAGACAACAATGCTACCCAATGGCTGAGGTTGGAACACTCCTATAGTGGGAAACATGGATCTAAGTATCTGTCTCCACCACTTTTACCATCATTAAGGTAGCCAACAACACCTGGTACAGGCCCCTCCACATAGGGTCTTTCCAGCTCTTTCTTCTGTAGTCTTTTGCCATCACATAGTCTCCAGGGCACAGAAAATACTCAGATTCTCCTACTCAGTTGGGCAGAGTTATCTTCACCCATGAAAAGAAAATCTGAAGAACATTGTTAGGTTAGGTGAGACACAGTATGCTTCTTATGTCCTCTCATCCATCAAGAGAAGCCTTGAAATGATGAAGCACACCTGCTACCAGCTTGTTGTAGTCCACTTATTTCATGCCTCCTATCACAAAAACAAAAAAGATTTAACCTAACCAATAACACATTATTACTACTGCTCATATCCTTAATACACCTTGCATATTTCCCCACAAAACCATTATAAAACATTAAAACCTCTGTAAGCCCAACTTCCCCCCTTGGACACATGCATCACATCGTGATTCATGTGTTAAAAAAACAAAAGAACAACAATATTGCCTATTAAACCAAAAATAATAACTAAACTTAAAATGACAACCCTTGAGCATATCTTTACTTAACTGTATCCCATAACACTATTCAAGGAATACCTCTCCTTCAGGACTAACTCTCTCACTTCATCCTTGTCCTGTTTGGACTAATATATATATATATATATATATATATATATATATATATATATATATATATATATATATATATATATATATATATATATATATATATGAATTTGTCCAAATTATAAACTTCTTCACAATTATCCTTATTATATCTAACCCCCTAATTCAGCATGCCTCTAGAATTTACAGTGTGGATGATCAGGTCACACTATAAAGACAGGACAGATTTCAGAGGTCATTGAAATCATTCAATGAATTGTTTCATCCAATAGTATACTACTCATTAATAACCATCAAGACATTTCATAAATGTTGTATCCCGAGTGTACAGTAAGTCCTTAGTACAGCGCTTTTCAAAATAAATCACACACATTTACTTATCCCTCAGTAAATAAAACCCCAATTACATGTGTATGCCCCTTTTAAGATATTTCACTTCCATCCCGTCAAAAAACCCAAAATAGAAATAAAAATCCTATACAGCTAACATTTCATACTAAGTAGTTTGTTTGTGGTTATTCGAACACCATATAGTAAAACAATAAACAAACAAAAAATGGCCAGGCCTTATTTATTTTGGTAGCTCCCTAATGACAACCTAAAAATAAAAGTACTTAATTTTACTAACTAGTTCCACCCTAACCTACAGACTTTTTTAACATCCTAATGAGATATAAAGAAATCCCCATGTTCCTGGAAGAGAAAGTATACATGTCGTTAACATATAATCAACAATCCAAAGATAGTAATTACACACAAAACATCATACATATATCCCCAGTCCTATCTCATCAACAATCATTCGTATCAATCTCACTCCTCAGAACTACTCCATAAAAAGATTATATCAAACCTTTGAAAAATTAAAACCACTCAAAATTCCTCTGAGTTTACAATGATTATATCCTCTTTAAATCCCATCATGATTATTGAACCCCTACATCTGCTCCTTGTGATCCCATATCAAATAAAGCATTATCGTTTACATTATCAACAACCTAGGAAATATCAGTAACCCCTTTTATTGTTCCTAACTTCCCTCTAAATGTCTTCCCTCCAATACAATCACGTACACCGCTTAAGTAAGACTAGATATGTTAACCCCAGCATCGATTTTAAATTGTTTGATACGTCGTGTCCTACTTTACCCCTAACATAATATTATAGGAGACTCCCATCAATCCTGGAAAATTTTTTTTTTATCCCACTTAGAAGACACTAGATAATAACACGTTTTATTAAGTTAACTACACCTTCCACTATAAACCTATAACCCATTTTTTGTAATTTAAACATCGCAAACTGTTGCATTGATGTTTTTAAAAATATAAACCTATTGTTTCATAATCCAAAACCCATAAAAAGATGTCTACTTAATCCATTAGGTCAACAGCAACAACTACCTCCCATCGTTCAATGTACCATAAACAAATGATCGTTATCTGAAGTAATGAACCATCGTCATAACTCACCGCTGTTTAAACAAACTATATAATGTCATAATAAAATGATCAATGATCAAATATCGTTCCTTATTCAACTATCGAGACATGTTCTTCATTAGTAAATCGTCTCCACAAAGCAATACTACCTAATAACATATCCTCATTCTCCTAAATATAAATAATTACTTATATTAAACAATCCCATTCAACATCAAGTCAACCTGTCTCATCACCCAATTAACTTACTTATTTTTTAAACCCTCTACAATATCTATCATACTCTACTGCTAATTTTCCTCATAACGGTACCTCAACAGATGACAAATTATTTTACATTTATAGTAAAAACCAATAAAACATCAAATTCACCGATATGCAATTTTAATTAATATGTTATCCTATCCGACATGGATTGGTAGGACAACATATTTCCTATAATGTTATCAATGAAACCAGTAATTCACGTCAATAGCATCAATGTAAAAGATTTGCTTTCTGTCCCTTACTGGATTCGAACCAGGGACCCTCTGCACACATCGACAACACTCACCATCGAAGCACCGCCACCCGTCGCTCCACAAAAGCCGCGGCCCCCGCAAAGCAACTACTTCCAGTTCATAGAGCAAGTGACGTCACCCAACGAAAACTGCACTAGCTCTCACCGCTAACTAGCTAGCAATTTCCTGCCGATAATATTCAACCTCCTACGACTTCCTACAAAAAATGCGATCCTTGTACACCTAATGTAACCCATAATGTCCCTTATAGCGCTCTCACGTTTCAGCAAGCCCCAATGGTTAACACCTGCAGACAAAAATGGAAATTCTTCCATTTTTGCTAGCAGACCTAATAAAACACACTTTCAAACAGCGTTCTGCATTTACCTCTATCATATGGTTTAAAAACGAACTTAACAACATTAACCATCCTAAATTGCCGTAGTAACGTCATGTTTGGTTCAGTTTATCTATTACCATATAAGACATTCACTTCTCCATGCGTCGTAAACTATATCCTATTTCTCTTGTAATCAACTAAAATCATAGCCACGCAATTAAACCATCACTCCGCCATTATCAGAATGAATGAGATCTATTCAACTATCCTTTCTAAGTAAGCTACAAGTAACACCAAACACTTGCTGTAGTTTACCATCATATATTGAAATCATCCATTTATCACGATCCAATTTATTTATAGACATATTCCACCATTGTCACTCGTTTAATCAGCAAAACCTTATTCAATGTCCAAAAAAATTACTACCACGCACTCTTCTCTCCATACCCGTTAACATTTTCACATGTTAGTCATTTAGCTGATGCTCTTATCCCAAGCGACCCACAATTAGTGAGCTCATACATTTTTATACTTATACTAGCCCCCCTTGGGAATGGAACACGCAACCCTGGCGTTGCAAGCACCGTGCTCTACCAACTGAGCTACAGAGGACCACAGATGAGCGTATAGTGCATTTTTCTGATAATGTTATAATTGTAGCCTATTGCATTACTTTAGTTTAAAATATAAGTTTGTTTATTCAACAAATCTAGAACCCACTATAAATTGGTGCTATTCCCTCAGCATAATAGCCAAAGCTCCTTGCATCCCCTGGTTCACATAACGAAAATAAATTATAATTCTAGAATTCACCAACTATTCGCATACATCACTGGTGTCACGCAAACTATAGAATAAAGTAATAACAATTAGAATTTGTCAAATAAATGTTTTCCATCCAACTATTCAAACTTGCTTCAAATATCTCTTTCAGCTTGATACAGTCAAGCAAGTACGACTCTCTTTTACCTGGAAACTAGTTCATGGCATTAGTAAAGTCTATTCACATCCCAACAATAACTACTAATATATGTATATTCATATTATTAAAAGACCTTACTTTCATTCCAGTCTACCTAAACAATTCAAATTATGGCCATAACTATCGCAATTGCCAGTCCGCTATTCAAATGTATGTAACTGTCCTTTCTGATCAGACTATAGACACTCCTCCCTCTTTCCCGTTGAATAAGTGAGTCCTTCAGTCTGAAAAGACGCAGGCTGCTAAATCGTCCAGTCTTATCCTGACTGCTCCGTCAATCTAAACAACCCACAACCATAGTTGAACTATACTTAGAAAACCTAGACTCTGATCAGCGATGCAGAATCTATGCTTTATTGAAAAGACAAGTTAATCCTCCTTTATTTCAATGATAATGGTCAGTCGTTTTAGTATCTGGCACATACCACACTTTATCAGAAAATAGCTTTGAAGGACACAGATCTCACACGCTCAACGTAAATAACTTAGCAGTCAACAAGTCAAACCCCACATTCATTGATTTGGAAACAGATCTAACGACCTAACCAAATGAATTATATTTTCCCCTAATATACTACAATTCCTTGACTATATCACCTCTGCTTCTGAAATAATAGATAGTTTATTATAATGCTTAATTCCACCACATGCTCTATGTACTTTCTCCCATCCCCACGTACGTCTACGTGCAAGTCAACACCTATAATGTTATCCAATCCCTCGTAATAAATTACACTCCCATAAAATTCATTATATTCTAATATATTCACATCTACCAAACCATTCATGTTTCTAATGATTCTTTATTGCCACAAATCAATTAATCACAATCTAGTCTCAGCGGAACGAACAACAAATTACCCAAATCCTTCCCCAGTCATAGAATCCTCCCAGAATCGTATATGCTGGTCACTATTCACTGATCTTACAAAATTCCATGACAGGCATTGTTGTACGAAACTCCAAGATATAATTTACAAGAAAAGCTTATTATTCCAACGTGTATATATATATAATTATCATACACACCTCTATATCTCATCATTCAAACTTTAGAGTGCGACTCATTTACACCATTATACCACTCTTATTCCATATTTATACAATGTTGTTCTCAAACGCGCTTAATTACTATTTGTATAACCTACAGGAATATTTTATTCTACCAAAGATCCCAAATTTGGAATGTTAACCCTATCCCAGTTATTATTTTACTGTAGTCAATTTATCATAATACTACATCACCTCTAAAGTTTCCAAATATAATGTCAGAAACATACCCTAAAAGATTGATCAAAATACAATGCATAGACGTCATATGATCACACCGGTACACGTGACCTGTTCCTCCAACAGGATTTATTCTACCCCTCCTGGTAACGTGAATTTTATACACTCAGTTGGTCAATGAATATCCACGCACCATTTATTCTTCTCTTTCCTAATGTGAGATTGGGCACGCCCTTTCTCCATCAGACAGAAGCTTCAAACGACCTCAAATATATTTCCTTTCCTTACAGAAAGGCTATTTACTTGCAGGATTTCTCACTCACACAGATGAGCAGCCACTTGTACCCAAATGAATCAGACAGTTTAATGACTCACAGTAGCCCAAGCAAACCACTCATCCACATGATCAGACCTACTCTATTTAACACTTTCTCTATATTTTGAAGCCTTAGTGACTGTTTATCCCGTTCACCTACTCAGGATGACTGGTGTTAACTCCAATTTATGTCACCTACTGAGGATTACCTATCTTTTTACCTGATCAACCCTTTCTGATTCACTTCCCCGACACAAGAAAGACGATTTTATACAGGATTCTTATTTATTTAGCCCCCTAGGTGATACACTTCCTCGACACACCTGGACTTCTACTACGCTTTCCTAAGCAACCTGTAAATTCTGCCCTTTTTTTTTCTGATACACTTCCTCGACACAGAAAATAAGCAGTATTGCACAGGATTTCTGCCTACCTAAGCAGCCTATAAATGATACACTTCCTCGACACGTTTATAGCGGTATTCGCAGGACTTTCTAACATGTTATTGTCTGATCGCTCAACCAGATGGACAACCGCCCGTGCCGAAATGACCCAGACAAAGCGATCAGCAGGATGAATCAAATGAATTGAACAGACGGTTCAGACGAACAACTGAGTGACATCGACATGTATTCTTAAATTCAAAAGCTCCCAGTCTCTAATTTTCTGGTTCTTAAATTTGGAGAGACCTACTTGGTTTTCTGCAGCTGAGGCCGTGCCCCGGATCGAACCACACAAACTTTATACTATATAAGTAAGAACTTGGCTTACCTATTAAAAGCGGCCGCTTTTGTTTGTATGGTCCGTCCAAGCCATTTCATAACTGCAGATGTACACCATCTCTGGCCCCTGTTGTCAACTCCTGGCAAGCTCGCCAATTATGTCGTAGAAATATTTGACTCAAAAGTAGTCAACTTAAAAATATTTCTCAAGAGACTGGAGCATGTGAATACATTTTTTTGACTTTTATTATTTGCATAACAAAGCCGAGCTTGCTCCATGGAGCAACTGCTTGCCCTGAACCGGAGCTCTCCTTTTATACAGACACAAATGCATAGTCAACATACATAGTTACTCCTCTCTATGTAAATGAATAACATATTTTCATTATCACATGTTGGCTACTCACGGGGGCTACTTGCGCTTCTCTAAATGGGGCCTCTGTATCTTATTAGTGGCGTGACTCAAAAAATTATGTACATACGTACATTAAAGAACAATCACACTCTGTATTGACTATATTCACTATCCAGACATATATCTGAAGTACAAAGTATTAATCATGTTCATTCTGTTTTACCTTTATTATTTCATAACACATTATAAAACATATCAATTAATATTTAAACATGGTTTAAACATGTCATCCGTAACCCATTCTCAACCACATACATTTAAGCATTTATCATTTACCATCCTCCCTGGCCCTTGAGATTATGTGCATGTGGCCATGTGTCAGGTCATAAGCACAAACAAATGATAACACTAGTTCCATTGTTACTCCAATCTCCACACAGCCACCACGAGGAGTTGTATCTCCATCACATGTCATTGACATACCCAGACCAGCTGCAGGGAGTTATGAAAAACACATAAATGTCTCTGCTCTGTATTAACCCTTCAACTGGTTCTCAATCCATAAACATTTAAGGTATATAGGTGTTTCATTCTACCATACTAATTGTATTATTGTGGTGAGAACTGAACAGGTGAAAGTGAAGTCCCTATAGACATCCATTTTGCTTGTATCTGACCTGTCTTCAGATAAGTGAGGAGAGGAAGGCACTTTAGATTATCAAGAACGACCATTTAAAATCCTGTTCAGTGTTTTGCATTATTAGCAATAATCCATGTTTGGAGCAGCATGCAAATTAACTTTAGCCTGACCAAACCAGTCTTACTGTTACGGCCTTGTGTATTTTGGGGCTGTAGGAGTAGGAATGAGAGTAGGAGTAGGAATGATCTAGGATTGGTTCACTGCCAGCGAGTCACCTGCTGAATTAAAGTAGCATTTGATTCATTTCAGGTGCAGATGTCACACATTGTTATCCGTAGTTGTAGTGTTTGACAACTTGCTGGGGTTATATCTTGAACTCTACTGTTACGCTTACTGAGATGACTGCTTACTTCCCCTAGTGGTGAAATAACCGCATTGACATGTTACATTAATTGTGTCAGTGAACCAATGTACGACATGGTAGTTAATTATACGCTACTTTAATGTGTCTCTATCGTAGTATTATTAGATGTAATTTTTTATAAATTGTCTTGATACACAGACATACTGGTTGAATTCATGACAACATATTTCCAGTAGCTCCTCTATGTCTTGTAACATATCCTGTACTGTCTGAATAATGTCCTACTCCTCCCCTGCAGTGACTTGGAGGCCCTCCACACCACCATGTTCTACCTGGTGTGTGTGGTGCCCATGTGTGTCGCCGCCCTGCAAGTCTTCGCCTGGAGGCCCTTCTCAATACGCAACAGTCACACCGTGGACACCAAGTATATCGACGGCTGAGTCACTCAACTTAATCTCTCTGTCTATGCTGACTTTTAAGACTTGACAGGCTGCTGCAGCACTCCTAAAGGGAACATGGTGGTGTAATGGCAGGAGGGTACTGCAGAAGAAAACTCTCCATCTGTATGTGTTTATTATGTTTGTCGGTGAACTTGTCTGGTGGTGATGAAGGGAACGGTACTGACCCTAACTCTGGTATCAGGAGCACACTACCTGAGCCTGCTATTACTCTATGCACTATGTAATAATATGATGTTAGTTACTGTGAAAACTGTATGACTTAACCAAGTTTATTGAGGGATATATTGTAGCATCAGATTACTTTCAAATAGGTTATTAGTTTGCAGACTTTGTTCTCCAAACAAATTGAATGTAAAACAGATATTTTCTTTGACATAGTGTATACATTGTGTATACTACATACTGGTATCATGGGACCTGAACCATTGTGATGTTGTGCCTTTGTCTAAATAGTTAATACCAATCAAATATGCTATTACTTTTCATTCAAATTATTTGCATTAATTTGTTGGGGAATGTTTTCTACAAGTCTTTTTACACTGTTTCCATTTTAATTAAAAACAATAAGCCTTCATTCAAATAACTTGCACATGTTATTTACGTTGACTTTTTAAACTGAAACATGAACCAAAAAAATCTGATATTCAAATAGGCGGACTTCAGATTCAGTACAGGGATTTCCGTTTTTCTTTCTGATTCATTTAAAGTTAATCAAATTGGGATTATTTTTGTCTTGTTACTCTCTCCATATAGCATGTTTTCCATTTTAAGCTGCCTGAAGAGGAAAAGGCTATACGGACACTCCTAACCTGCAAACCGATATTCCGAATTTGTTAAATTTAGGTCAGGGTTAAGGGTTTGGTTAAGGTAAGGGTCAGTTTTAGATTTTGGTTAGTCGTTTTGCAGGTCAGCAGTGTCCTTATAGTCTCTCCCGCCTGAAGATGTGTAGGGAAGTAGCTGTCAATAGCTGTTCTCCTTTTTGTTGAGTCACTGGTTTTGGTAAATGTCCTCTGGATGGTTGGAGTGGGGGCTTTCAACCTGCAAGACGATTCAGTTGAGTTTATCAGATGTAGAGTCAACATGGTGTAGATTAGATGTGTTGTTTGAGAAGAGTTTGCTCAAGAACAAGGTATGATAATTTAGTAAATTGAAAACTGGTTGATATAACTGAGTCATAACACATAAACATAACACAACATCTAAGCACTTTCCCAGCCTCTCTCTTATTTATTAGGAAAGCCAATAAGCCATATTAGGAAAATGCAATCTGACCATCCTGTACCTTGTTTTGAGCAGGGCCACTGTGGTTGGGGTTCTTCTTGTTACTTTGTAAGTTCCTCTTGCCGTACAGCTCTTGCACAACAGCACCAAACTGTGCTCGAACTGTATTCTTCTGTAAGAGATAGAACGAACTGCAAACAAATTGGTTACATCGCAGTGGTAAATAACAACAAAAAAGTGTTGTATTTCCTTGTCTTTCTGGAATGTAAACATACATTGAAGTCTCAATATTGTGAGACTGAGGATTATACTAGGAATTTACTGAAGAGGAATACCCCCTCTTACAAAACCATGATTGCAAGGGCTTAGAAATAGAACTGTTCCTTGTTTAAGACATCGGGCTTTCCACAACTTTGTGAAACTAAATATTGTGAACACATTGCACATTGTGTGCAGGTTTAAGACATCATGAACAACTTCAGTGAGGCAGTACAAAAGAGAAGACTTCACCTGGATGTCACTCTTCTGTGTGCCTCTGCAAACGGCAATGTCTTTCCCAGTCTAGTGTAGAATGAGCGGGTTAGAATCCAATGTAGACTAGATGATTATGGTGGTTGCATGATTGGTCAATATATTTTATCCATTGTTACGTCTCAAACAACATCCAATTCATAATGATCATTATATGTATGTATCTAGTGTAATACAATATCTTTCCTTCTTACAAATGATCAGAATCAGTACCGCCAGACTGTACAGGCCCAACAGGACAAACAGCAGCCACAGCAAAACATGCCAGGCCATCTGCATGCCCCTCTCTGAAAGCACACAGGAGAACTGTCACTTGGTTTTCATATGGTTGTAAAGGCAAAACTTGAGTAGAATTGAAAAGGCCCCCTTGCTACCCCAAACACTCTTACCCATAGAGATACATCAAATGGTGAGTAATAATTTCAAATGATGCGTGTTCTATTTAATTCTATGCTCTTACCTCTCACCACCAGCGTGGTGCCCTGTCCTATCTCATGTGCCCCGCTGCATACCACGTTTTTAAACAAGGCAGCACAGTGGTACACCCCGCTGTCATTGGCCTGGAGTGAGTTGATATTCAGGGCGTTTCTCTCCAGGCTGTATTTGTGTTGCTGGGCCATCAGATCGACCGAGTGGTGAGCGTCCTCCTTGAAGACGAACCAGATTAAGTCAATTTCCATATTGGTATCATAAGCGATGTTACAGGGGAGAGAGGCTGACTGACCCCCTATCTGCCAAATGACCTCGTCTGGCTGGTGTAACGATAACCCTGGGTGGCAGTCGGTCTTGATCCCTATGATGTCTGGAGGAAAAAGAGATACAAGTACAATCATAAAGTTGTACTTTCAATCGTTATAAGTATAACTAATATGGAATCAAAATAGTTTACACCAAGGAATAAGAGGAGCATTGTGTGCTTTGAGAAAATATCAGATTAAAACTGATTAAAAGTTACAGTAATTATACTGACATAAAGAGACATTTAACTTAGCTTTACTGGTTTAAAAAACATTCACATTTAGTGAAGTTGGTGTCCTTACTGGCTGTCGAGATGAATTAGCGTGGTAGAGGAGAACACTGATAAGTCCGTTCTGATGAAAACATTACGTTGACACCAGTTGGGTGTGTGTAGAGCGTGCGCGCGCTATGATCTCATGACTAAGTGTGTAATAGACAGAACAGGAAGATGGATGTTTTCACTTCTCTTACTTTTCCAACCTGTTTACCAAGTATCTCATCATTATGTGTTTGGTGTTGTAATCCCAAACTATTTTACTCACGGTCGCACAGTTGTCACTCAAACTGTATTCTGATAGTAATGTTGCAGCATCAGAGAAATGTTGTGAGAATCAATCTGTTCGCCTTTCTTCAAGTTCAAGGCCCTGGCATGACAGTCACATTGCGTATATTATTGTTCTAATAACTAACCGAGATATTATAAATGAGAATACAACTAAACCAAACTATATACAGTACCAGTCACAAGTTTGGACACACCTACTCATTCAAGGGTTTTTCTTTATTTGTACTATTTTCTACATTGTAGAATAATAGTGAAGACATCAAAACTATGAAATAACACATATGGAATCATGTAGTAACCAAGAAAGTGTTAAACAAATCAAAATATATGTAATATTTTAGATTCTTTAAAGTAGCCACCCTTTGCCTTGATGACAGCTTTGCATACTCTTGGCATTCTCTCAACCAGCTTCACCTGGAATGCTTTCCCAACAGTCTTGAAGGAGTTCCCACATATGTTGAGCACTTGTTGGCTGCTTTTACTTTGGCTGCTTTTTTGTGGAGGCCAGGTCATCTGATGCAGCACTCCATCACTCTCCTTCATGGTAAAATAGCATTTATTTGGGCTGCAATTTCTGAGGCTGGTAACTCTAATGAACTTATCCTCTGCAGCAGAGGTAACTCTGGGTCTTCCTTTCCTGTGGCGGTCCTCATGAGAGCCAGTTTCATCATAGCGCTTGATGGTTTTTGCGACTGCACTTGAAGAAACGTTCAAAGAGTGTGCAAAGCTGTCATCAAGGGAAAGGGTGGCTATTTGAAGAATCTCAAATATAAAATATATTTTGATTTGTTTAACACTTTTTTGGGTACTACATGATTCCATATGTGTTATTTCATAGCTTTGATGTCTTCACTATTATTCTACAATGTAGAAAACAGTAAAAACCCCTTGAATGAGTAGGTGTGTCCAAACTTTTGACTGGTACTGTATATTCTATGGTGCTCAATCTCAAAATCAATGATTTGTCAATATAAATCTGTGAGAATTGGAAGACAGGTAAAGCATTTTAGTTGAGGCTGAAATGAAGAAGAAACTGGACATTCTTACCAATGGATGCTGGTGGGCGTGTTTAGTACTGGTGTCACTCAAACTGCTGTATCCAATCCGAACCCAATTTGCTTTGTAATTTAAGTTTTTCTTACGCCCCCTTCCACGTCGACTTGCCCTATCGCCATATTTCAACTCGTTGCCTCAAGAAAGGGATAGTGAAGCCGGTTAAATAAGTTAGCTAGAAAGCTAGTTTAAACCAGAAAAAGTTCTCAACAGTAGACTTTAGGGTCTTAAAAGTCATTTTCACCGGTGTCAAAAGAAGGCATCAGCTCTAGTAATGAACATCTTCAGGTTTACGGGAGACCTCTCTCACTTGGCAGCTATCATCATTCTCCTGCTCAAAATATGGAAAACCAGGTCGTGTGCTGGTGAGTAACGTTATATTACCTACTAAAATGTAACTTGAACGTTTTATATTTCTTCCAATGACTGTTATTGGCTATGTACTGTCTACATATGTAGTTAGTTAGCCGTCTGTCCATATTCCAACCTATCTAGTTAGCTGGCTGTAGTTTAGATCCCTGTAGACCGCTAGCTAGCTAACATGGATAGTTAACGCGTTAGCTAACTAGCGTTATATTCCTAACCTACTACTAGCTAGCTATGTAGCTGCTAGCTACAGAACAAACATGCAACGAATGGCATTTAAGTGCTGATCAATATATAATGCATCATGAAACAAAAGTATATGCAGATCATGTGTGCACTGAAATGTTCGCTAGCTAGTTAGCTTGAATTGGTTGAACGTTAGCTACTTAACCACAGTAGCATGTCAACTTGCTAGCTGTCTTTTCTAGCGCGGCAACTTGGATTGCTTGGATTTGACGTTAACTAGCTAGCTAAACGGATTAATGTTTAATCAAAGCCTTCCTTGAGTATCTGTTTTCCACCTATGACATAGGCTATGTAACTGTTAGCTAGCTAACTTGTTATGCAAAACATGTTAGCTACGGTATCTAACTAGCTAGCTACTTGTAACAGCCAAAATAGTCGATGATAAAAATATAAAAAATCGATTGATCATAAAGTGATGCAAGTTTGGACACTGTACCTTGTTGTCAGGTGAGGTATTTATGAATAACTACTGTTTAAACATTCTGTCTAGTGTCAACTTTGTTTTCTGCAACAGTCTGGCATGTGAGTACACTCAATGTAGCCTGGCGTTTGATTGTTTGGTCTGGACTCTGACGTGGCATTCAAAGTCCCAGAAATTAACTGGTTAGGTGGCAAGGAATCAATGCATTCTCACTCAAAAGTAGTCGACACTGCTACATTTGTCTCAAATTTGCTGAACACATCCTATATTCTAAACACTCACACACGTTTCTCTCATCGACCTTGCATGCATCGGATGCATTGGCATGGCGCCCCTTTGAGGTCCGCAGAGGAAGGGGAGCCAGCAGGCCAGAGGTGGATGAACGCAATGTCCTCGTTTGGGTGTAGGGACTGATCAGAGCCTGAAGGTACAGGGGTGCCGTTCCCCTCACTGCTCCAAAGGCAAGCACCATGGTCTTGTAGCGGATGCGAGCTTCAATTGGAAGCCAGTGGAGTGTGCGGAGGAGGGGGGGTGACGTGAGAGAACTTGGGAAGGTTGAACACCAGACGGGCTGCGGCATTCTGGATGAGTTGTAGGGGTTTAATGGCACAGGCAGGGAGCCCAGCCAACAGCGAGTTGCAGTAGTCCAGACGGGAGATGACAAGTGCCTGGACCAGGACCTGCGCCGCTTCCTGTGTAAGGCAGGGTCGCACTCTCCGAATGTTGTAGAGCATGAACCTGCAGGAGCGGGTCACCGCCTTGATGTTGGCGGAGAACGACAGGGTGTTGTCCAGGGTCACGCCTAGGCTCTTCGCACTCTGGGAGGAGGACACAGCGGAGTTGTCTACCGTGATGGCGAGATCATGGAACGGGCAGTCCTTCCCGGGGAGGACATTAGAATCTTCAGGTTTATAGCATCTTCCCATTCAGTTTATGGATGGGACAGTGTAAGATTGAGACCCTGGGGTTTTGTGAACATATTCTATTACAGAAGCAAGTGCATGTTGGTCTGATCCTGATAGCTCCAACTTAAAATTCATAACGTCTTGTGAGGGGTGTGTCTTTTTCTAATACCAGTCACTCTAATATATGGAATAAATACGATTTCTTGTGAACATTACGATTAGGCCTACATGGAGATAAATTAGTTGCTAGGTGATCACCCTAGTCTTGAGATGCTGCTGCATTTCTTGATGTAGTTTCAGCAAACAGATGCAGTTTATTTACCCTCTAGTCAGACAGGTTTGACTCACTCACATTTCCAACTGCAGTCAGTAAGGTACTATCACACTTGCAGCCCTGACAGGGCAGGGGCTTGCAAAGGAAGACTATTTTAGAAGTTGTGAAGACCTTGCCTTTCTTCCTGAACTTGTTCTTGAAGTGATGCAAAACTAGAAGAATCATTTCTTAATAATTTCCTTCCCGATATTATCCGTCCTACTGTTGTTGTAAAACTGGTTGTCTCTTCCAGGTATCTCCGGGAAGAGCCAGATCCTGTTTGCTTTGGTCTTCACTACTCGCTACCTGGACCTACTCACCTCCTTCATCTCCCTCTACAACACCACCATGAAGGTAAGAGGATGGCTGGGCCTTAATACTGAGCCTTCCTTTCCTTCTCCATACCTCCAAACCACTGATAGTATTGATTAAGTGTTATGAGTTGGGCCAGGCGGAATCTGTGGAACCTCTTACAGAGTTGTCTGCATAAGCACTTGACAGTCATCACCAAATCTTTCAGGGCTTCAGATAAGTAATCTCTCTGTAGATTTCATCTGGCCCTAGTCCTTAGGAGAGACGGTCTAGACTGTGCTACTATTTTCTTCACAGCACCATTATCATGGGATACACTCATTTTCTCCCTCTCCTCTTCCCTGCAGGTGATTTACATCGGTTGTGCCTACGCCACTGTCTACCTGATCTACATGAAGTTCAAGGCCACCTACGATGGGAACCACGACAGCTTCCGGATGGAGTTCCTGGTGGTTCCTGTAGGGGGCCTCGCCTGCCTGGTCAACCATGACTTCTCTTTCCTAGAGGTTACAGACATTTACGTTACATATGAACGAGAGACCCCTAGTTGGCTACTTAACCTATTCCGCATGGTCAGTTGTGAGAGAGCTGGCGGATGAGATTAATGGCTAATATACAGTGTTGTGTGTTTGTCTTTCTATCAGATCCTGTGGACATTCTCCATCTACCTGGAGTCGGTGACCATCCTGCCACAGCTCTTCATGATCAGTAAGACGGGCGAGGCGGAGACCATCACCACCCACTACCTGTTCTTCCTGGGTCTCTACCGGGCCCTGTACCTCTTCAACTGGATCTGGCGCTTTTACTTCGAGGGTTTCTTTGACATGATCGCCATTGTGGCCGGCGTGGTGCAGACCATCCTCTACTGCGACTTCTTCTACCTTTATGTCACTAAAGGTGAGTGTCCACCTAAATGTCCATCTCTGATTTCTGTTCTGCCATATGTGTATTCGCTGTTTGACCTTCTGGTATTTTATGTATGCGTGTGTAATTGATGGTTGAGTTTGTAGGACTACATCATATCCTAAATGAGTTATAATCCATCTATATACAGTTTGAATGTTGTAGTGCACAGGAGTCAGCACATTGCAATGGAAATACATTTGGAAAAAAAATATTGGGCCCTCTGACATGTATCTCTATAATCCTCAGTGCTGAAAGGAAAGAAGCTGAGCCTGCCAGCATGAGAGGTTCAGACGGAGACCCCGTGTCTCCCAGCAGACTCAGGGTGCGTGGAGATGACATCACGGAACCCCGCCGAGCGAGCACAAGATGCCTGAGAGACAGAGCAACTCAAGGGAAAAAACACTAGTCTTCTTCATGAGTAACTTTGAACTTGTAAACAACAAACAGCTCCAGAACTGAATGAGAGGTCATCCCAGGTCTTCACGCGGTCTTCGGATATCTGTGTTTAGCATCTTGCCTTACCTTTTCTCATTGCTGTTCAAAATAGAAAGAAACCATATTTTTTTCGACATGTGAGGTGTGCTCTTTATGATGGCTCAACATGCATTGTATCGATTAGGGTTGACTCAATGCAAAGTACCATGCCAAACTTCTTAATGAAATGCACAAATGTAGTCTTTATGATTAAGATGGAAGCGATGTGTCTAGGAGTGTTAGGTAATGATGATTTTATGTCTTACTATTACATTGTTGTTTTTACATGACTACCCCCTTGGCCAATTTATTATTCACAAGTACATTTACTTATCTGTTTTGTAGGTGCTCTTTCCTTTGGAGATCCCAGTTTGTACTCCTGTCTTGAAAAAGTTATCCTGCAAAGCCCACTTCCTGGTTCTTGTGTTCATAGATCCCTTTGCCCAATTATTTTTTTCAGTTGACCTTCTTCATCTTGGTGTCCTCCGTTATGTACGTACTTGCCATTCTAAGATGAAGTTCCCATCTTAACATGATAAATATCACCTTTCACATCACCAACCAAAAGAAGAGTTTATTGCATTACTTCGGCCTAGCCTCAGCTTGTTCAACAATGGATGATTGTAAGTAATTTAGGCGTCCGTATCAGTAAATGTGCTTCCTGATAGGGCTATTTGGTTTGTTTTCAACGCAGTCCTAGACTAAGGTTAATTTGGTATTGATTGAATACTGTAATCGCCTTACATGGTCAGTTGTCTGTTTAGCTGTTTAAATAAAGATGCAGTCATTTGTCACAGAGATAAAACACCCATTGAAATGTAAATGATATTCTAGAACAGGGTTGAGGAATGTGTGTGATATATGGTGTTTGGTATGGATGCATTTGAGTTAAATGTTGAGATTTGACCCATTATCCCAGCTAAGTACACCCCCATAGCCTTTTCATTTGAGTCATTCCTATAGCTTCCTTTTTAAAAGTTGCATGATACCTGGATACCACCTCACCTCCAATAAACGTTTTATGAAAAAACACTCAGTTTTATGCATCTTCATTAGATTTCAGGCTGTGTGGATGGAGGGCACCTCTTACCTTATGTTACTGTGATTGTCACCTCTATTTTCTCCTCCTCCCTCTCTGTGGATGATTTCGTCAACCATTTTGAAAAGAAGGTTGACGACATCCGATCCTCATTTATTAAGTCAAATGACACCGCTGGTCCTGCTCACACTGCCCTACCCTATGCTTTGACTTCTTTCTCCCCTCTCTCTCCAGATGAAATCTTGCGACTTGTGATGGCCGGCCGCCCAACAAACTGCCCGCTTGACCCTATCCCCTCCTCTCTTCTCCAGACCATTTCCGGAGACCTTCTCCCTTACCTCACCTCGCTCATCAACTCATCCTTGACCGCTGGCCATGTCCCTTCCGTCTTTAAGAGAGCTTTAAGAGTTGCACCCCTCCTCAAAAAACCTACACTCGCCAATGTCAACAACTACAGACCAGTATCCCTTCTTTCTTTTCTCTTCAAAAATATTGAGCGTGCCGTCTCTAGCCAACTCTCCTGCTATCTCTCTCAGAATGACCTTCTTGATCCAAACCAATCAGGTTTCAAGACTGGTCATTCAACTGAGACTGCTCTTCTCTGTGTCACGAAGGCTCTCCACACTGCTAAAGCTAACTCTCTCTCCTCTGCTCTTATCCTTCTAGACCTATCCGCTGCCTTTGATACTGTGAACCATCAGATCCTCCTCTCCACCCTCTCCGAGTTGGGCATCTCCGGCACTGCTCACTCTTGGATTGCGTCCTACCTGACAGGTCGCTCCTACCAGGTGGCGTGGCGAGAATCTGTCTCCGCACCACGTGCTCTCACCACTGGTGTCCCCCAGGGCTCAGTTCTAGGCCCTCTCCTATTCTCTCTATACACCAAGTCTCTTGGCTCTGTCATATCCTCACATGGTCTCTCCAATCATTGCTACGCAGACGACACACAATTACTTTTCTCCTTTCCCCCTTCTGATAACCAGGTGGCGAATCGCATCTCTGCATGTCTGGCAGACATATCAGTGTGGATGTCGGATCACCACCTCAAGCTGAACCTTGGCAAGACGGAGCTGCTCTTCCTCCCGGGGAAGGACTGCCCGCTCCATGATCTCGCCATCACGGTTGACAACTCCATTGTGTCCTCCTCCCAGAGTGCAAAGAACCTTGCCGTGACCCTGGACAACACCCTGTCGTTCTCCGCTAACATCAAAGCGGTGACCCGATCCTGCAGGTTCATGCTCTACAACATTCGCAGAGTACGACCCTACCTTACACAGAAAGCGGCACAGGTCCTAATCCAGGCACTTGTCATCTCCTGTCTTGATTACTGCAACTCGCTGTTGGCTGGACTCCCTGCCTGTGCCATTAAACCCATACAATTTATCCAGAACGCTGCAGCCCGTCTGGTGTTCAACCTTCCCAAGTTCTCTCATGTCACCCCGCTCCTCCGCACACTCCACTGGCTTCCAGTTGAGGCTCGCATCTACTACAAGACCATGGTGCTTGCCTACGGAGCTGTGAGGGGAACGGCACCTCCTTACCTTCAGGCTCTGATCAGACCCTACACCCAAACGAGGGCACTACGTTCATCCACCTCTGGCCTGCTAGCTCCCCTACCTCTACGGAAACACAGTTCCCGCTCAGCCCAGTCAAAGCTATTCGCTGCTCTGGCACCCCAATGGTGGAACAAGTTCCCCCACGACGCCAGGACAGCGGAGTCACTGACCACCTTCCTGAGACACTTGAAACCCTACCTCTTTAAGGAATACCTGGAATAGTATAAAGTAATCCTTCTTCCCCCACAATTTTTTTTTTTTAAAGTGGTTGTCCCACTGGCTATCATAAGTTGAATGCATCAATTTGTAAGTCGCTCTGGATAAGAGCGTCTGCTAAATGATGTAAATGTAGGTACAGACAGCTAGAAAAAGCTCCGCAAAAAAATTGTAAGTACTTGTATTCTATTGGTATTTTATTAGAATCCCCATTAGCTGTTGCTACTCTTCCTGGGGTCCACATTAAACATTACATAATACAGAACATTAAACAAGAACAGCTCAAGGCCAGAACTACAAATCTGTGGTGAAGGGTCAGTCATTACAAATGGGCACACTTTGGTAAATGTATTAGAAAATGTCTTACAAATACACAATATTGAGACACTGGCTTTCAAGAGCAAATCAATTTAGTAGTGCAGTTGAAGTGATTTACTTGTAACATTCCATCAAAGTAACATATCGCCATTAATCTTCAGATATAAAAACACAGATTTTTAATTTTTGATAAAAATCATTAGTCACTATCATCTCTGTTAGTGCATACTTTACATTCTGTATATCTGGAGTGTTTCTGGTTTACACAAACTGACATGACCTTAGTCACAGAAACTAGCTCCCACTGTTCAAATGGACCACAGATTTTAAATTTAATCAAAAGACTGACCTGTTATTAATCCTCTGTGGATCAAAACTAGAGGAACACATTTAATAAAATATTTGGCAAATGTACAATATGGATTATAGCATACTGCACACATTGTTTAAAAAACAAAGCTGATTATTCTCAAATACAATGTAACAGTCAGGTATATTATTTGCACTGCTACCTGGTCATTTGTTATGTTTTAAATGGGCTTTGTGTAACAACAAATCATTTCTACCATTACAGGTGCTAAATCCCCTCCATCGCAAATGATGAGGACAAATAAAAACCAAGGTACATTCATTGCATGTAACTTCTGACATTTAGACTAGCAACCGATAGCAGCTTGAATTTCAACTGTGTTTATCATCTTTGTTCTCTTAACCCTTAGAAAGATCAAGAAAATTGAGATATTAGTGCAAATGCTATAGTGCAATAAAAGAACAAATCAACAATCAACTTGTCTACATTCAGTCAGGTGAAATCATACAACCTCCAGAATCATATAAAGAAATATTAATACTTGTATCAAATGGTGATGATTCCATTGGACTGTTTGGATAATAGATTTTTCTAGTTAAAGGTCCAGGGCAGTCAAAGATGTGATTTTTCTGTGTTTTATAAATATTTCCACACTGAGGTTGGAATAATACTGAGCTTTTTGAAAAGACCTCCTGAAATTTCAGCCTGTTTTGGTGGGCTGAAAATGTGGCCTGCCTGGTGGCAGAGAGTTCCAAACGTGACTGCCAATAACCGCTAGTTTTCCATTTTCCCTTCCCCACTCAGACCAAAAAAAGTATTGCTTGAGAAATTGCTCTTTGCTAAGAAGCTATTTTTGTTTGATATTGAGATAAAAATAGCTGCATTGGGCCTTTAATGAAAAGTCAAGCTGAGGTTTTCCTCTAGTTCTCGAGTCTAGAGGAACCCCTATCTGCCAGTGAGAGGACTGCAGTGCAGTGATCAGTATATGATTGTGTCTGTAGAAGGCCATCTCCATCACTGACGCTGCAGCTTCTTAAACCTTGGGCTTCCCTTAGGCTTCTTCATCATCATCTTCTTCTCTGTCAGACTTTAAAGTAGGGGAGAGAACAAACAACTTGAGTATTATATTAAAGGGACACTACATTTATGAGAAAACATTGTATGATGTATCTAGAAAGCAGTATTTGTTCATCAACCAAATTATGTGTTATGTTGAACACACCTATCTTGTTCCATGACTGTTATATTTGTCGCAGGCGCCAACCTAGTGACTCGGTACCTACTGACACTGGGTGAAAGAGAGAAAGGAAGCGGGTGAGAGAGGGAGAGAATGAGAATCTCCAATGAAGGGCCTATGTTTGTGTGTGTGTTCACTCCAGGCTGCGTGTTTTGATACCGCTGGCTGTAGTAGAAGTTGAGCACATTGGAAGAGGTAATGTAACAGGCACCGAGGACCAAGGAGACCAGGATGGCGAGGATGGCCAGAGCAGAGAGCACACACAGCAGACTGACCCCTCCCAGGGACAGCAGGAACACTGGAGGGAGAGGCAGGAAGAATGAGAAAAACAAGAGCGAGAAGGGGTTTCAGTATTAGCCACCTTCATTGTCCTTGATAGACAGGCATTCAGGCTAGTTGTTATACTACACAGCTGGGTATAGTAAAGGTAGTGTAGGGACTTACCCTCCAATAAAATGAAACCCACAGTGGCACCAATGAATGTAACGGTGGCAAAGGCCAGGAAAAGCCCAATGGGTACAGTGGCCATGGCGCCAAATACTAACACAGCCAGGGCTAAGAACGGGTGGCCATTGAGGTACTGCCCCATTGATGTGTTCATCAGCTCTGCCACCTAGCGAAAGGAGAGAGAAGGGAAGTGAACATGCTTCACATTACCTCTTGTCCTATTAAGAAGTAATAGGTCCCTACATGCCTGTTACTGTTAGACCAAGAGTTTGTAAAAGCAAAGGAAAGCCGCACACTCTAGGAGCTCAGATGCAATCATTTAATAACCTAATAACCAACGTTTTGACAGACAAGCTGTCTTCATCAGGGTTTAATGACAAACACAGCGGGTCACTAGTTTATATAGTGTCAAAGGACACACGGAGGTGTCTGTAACATGGCCGGGTGTGGCCTAATACCATTGGTTAATTCACAGATAAACAGAACATACAAAAAATATGGATAGCATACGATCATATATACAACTTGGCTACATAGGCTGTCAAACATGTACAATGAATAGCAAAATCACAGTAATCACAAGAATGGCTTCAAATCAAAGTCTACGTTGAAACCGAAGGGAGCAAGGGTCTTTAAATTAAAGATCCAGGCAGCCTCTCGTTTTAACAATAAGTTGTCGAGGTCACCCCCTCTCCTAGGGATGGTGACATGTTCGATGCCGATATAACGTAGGGACGAAATCGAGTGGTTCGCTTCCAAAAAGTGGGCAGCGACTGGGTATGTCGAGATTTTGCACCTAATAGTGCTACGATGCTCAGAGATTCATACTTTTAATTTGCGCTTTGTTTTACCCACATAATTTTTTACCACAAGGACAAGTTATAAGATAAATACTGCCTTAGTGGAGCACGTAATAACACCTTTGATTGGGACCTGTTTCCCTGTTTGGGGGTGTTTAAAGGATCTACATTTGTAAGTGCCATTGCATTGAGTGCAACCGTTACACTTGTAGTTTCCATCCGGTAGAGGCGAAAATAGACGTTGTGCAGGGATATTTAGGGGTGGTAAATCCGAGTTTACCAATTGATCTCTGAGGTTTCTGCCCCGCGAGAATACAACCAAGGGAGGGTCCGAAAACACATTACCAATACTGTCATCGGATCTTAGAATGTGCCAATGTTTGTGAACGATTCCCTAAATTTGTTCAGAGCACTTTGAATAGTGTGTAGTTAGAACGCAAGAATGCTTCTTTTTGCGAGACTGTCCCTGAAAGAGGTCAAGTCTAGATTATTATTTTTTTTCTCTCAATGGCATTATTAATTTGAGAATTTTTGTACCCCCTCTCCTTGAATTTTCTTTGCGTCTCAGCCATATTTCGGTCGAAATCTGATTGTTTTTTACAATTTATTTTGATTCGACAGAATTGGCTGTAGGGCAAACTGTTTTTCAAGGGAAGCGTGTGACAAATATCTGCCCTCAAACTGTTACGATCAGTAGGTTTCCTGTAAAGATCAGTGTATAGAACATTATCCTCACAAAATCAGAAGATCAAGGAAGCTGATTTGATGTGTGTCAGATTGCATAGTAAATCTCAGGTGCTCAGAACAAGAGTTAAGAAAAGCATGGAATGACTGGAGCTGTTTTAAATCACCCCTACATAGAACAAAAAGATCATCAATGTACCGTTTCCATATAATAATGTTAGGCAAGAAAACATTTTGAAATTATTGAAAATTGACTGTTTCTCAATGTAACCCACATACAAATTAGCATAGTTAGGAGCCATAGGGGATCCCATAGCAGTACCCTTCGTCTGAATGAAGAAATCATTTAGAAACATGAAGTAGTTGTGTGTGAGTACTATTTCAGCCAATGTTATAATGCATGCACTGGTAGGTAGTTCATTTGGGTCACGTTGCAGAAGAAAATGTTCCATGGCTTCAATACCGCCCTCGTGTGGAATATTCGTATAACGACTCAACATCAAAAGTAACTAACAAGGTATTATCAGTGAGAGGATCAAGAGATTCAATAATAGAGATCATACTGCTGGTGTCCTTTAAAAAAAAAGGGGGGGGGGGGAGCTGTTCAGCGAGAGGTCTAACAAAAAAGTCAACAAAGGTCGATAAAGGGGCTATTACTGCATCAATGCCTGCTACAATAGGGCGCCCTGGAGGTTTTGTAACGTCCTTGTGTAATTTCGGCAAAGTATAGAAAGTTGCAATTTTAGGGTGTTGAATAGCCAAAAAATCGTGTTCTTTTTGGGTCATTTGACCAGAACTTAAATACCCATCTAGGACAGTAAAGATAGTTTTCTGAAATTGGGAAGTGGGGTCACTTGTGAAAGGTGTTGTCAAGCAGAATTTGATGCCAAGAGTTTGTAACAGTGTTGCTGAAGAGGAGACTGGGTGCACTGTTACCTTGGGGTCATAGTACAGGCTGTCCATCATGCTACTCAAACTGCCCTGAAGCTGCAGTAGCCCTTTGGGGATAGTTGTCACATTGTTGCACTGCATTGTTTGGTTTCTGTCATGCACAGAAGAAGTGGAAGAAGAGGAGATAAGGGGAGGGGGTGAGGGTTACATTGACAAATAAAAAAATGTAGCTATGTCACATAGTTTAGCTACCTCTAATGGAGACAAACATATGAATACCGGGTATCTAGCTAACTCACTTATAAGTCTATTTCAGCAAAGCGCCCCTGATGGACGTGGGTGTGTTTACTTTCACTAACGTTAGCCTAGCTGAATAGCTCAAACTATTTCCAACGACTTGCTAGATAAAAAAACAAGCAACACATTGAGTTACTTTACTCCTCAATCTACACGGCTTTAATTTTATCACAGCAAACCATGTAGTTAGCTACTAATCCAAAAGTTTCGCAAAACTGTTCGTTACCTTCTTCTTTCTTCTTGTATAATATTATGGCGGTCCTCAAACAAACGTTGTCGGTGAATGCCTCCACCTACTGTCCTGAAGTGTCTAGTCAATCACAGTTTACAAACTAAAGAACCAAACATTAAGTGAAGCTAAACCCTCCTATCTAATCCTGTACTAGTCTGTTCGTTACCTACCTGTCAGAAAGTGTGCCGACTGGTTTGAAGCTGCGTGTGAACTATACCCCGGAAGGTTAACAAAAAGGCTTGAAGGTGGGTAGCACTTAAAAATTTTCTTTTTGAAACTAAAAAGCACATTTTGAATGAAAAATAGAAAAGGCATGAAAGGCAACCCCATTCAAGAAATTTGGACCCAAATTTCAACCCCTTCCCTCAAGGTTTCCAGAAGGCAAATTGGGGGTGGGCCCCGTCTAAACATAATTTAAAAGCTTCCCCGGTCAAAAAAAATAAAAAGAAAAGGGAACAAAACCCAAATAAAAAAAAATTATTCCGGAAAGGGTTTTGATTTTAAATTTATTTTTTTAATTAAAATTTTTAAAAAAGAAAAATGCCCGTTTAAAAAATGGTGGGGAAAAAGGAAACCCCCCTCCCTATGGGCCCCTTGCTCCCCCCTGGCCCCCAAAGTTCTTTTAAATCCTGGAGAAGGGGAAAGGGGACATCCCCCTATTATAAAGAAAACCGGGGTTTAAAAGCAAGTGCCCCGTTTCACCCAAAAAAACTTGTTTTGAATGGGGGTTTTCAAAAAATTGGCCCCTATTTCCACGTTTTTTAAACCAATTTTCCCAGGGGTTTTTTTCCACAGGGGAAAGGGGAAAAAGTAGTCCCAAGGATGGGGCCCAACCCTGCCCCCGTACAAAAACCCCCTTGGACCTTTAAAAATTCAAAAACCCCCCTTGGAGGGACCCCAAACCAAAAGGGGTTTATCAAAAAACAATGCCCAAATTTTAACCCTATTACATAACCGTTTTGGGGAACCTTTTCTGGGAATAATAAGAAGGGGGAAAGAAAATATTGGGATTTAAAAGAAGGGAGCCTTTTCCTTTCAAAACGGGGGGAAAAGTTTACCCTTTGGGTAAAAAACCCCGGGGCCAAATTGGGTAAGTGGGTGGAGCCCCCAATTGGGGTTTTTTTTCACAAAACCCCTTGGGGACGAAAACCCAATCCACAAAACAACCAACGGTTTTTAGTGGAAAAGGGCCCTTTAAAACCCCCTAAAAATGCCCTTTTGATCTTACGCGGCTATTCAGTAGGACAACAGTCAAACAAGCAGGACCGCACTGAAGTCAGGCATCCCTGGACATAAGCTTCAGACTCTGGCAGAGACCATACACCAGGTATAGCATCAAAGGTGAAGTGCATGGTGTCACAGATCATATCAAACTGTTGATGAAACTGCGGCTGTTTCTGGGAAATCATATATGAAGTATATGAAAGTATTTAAGAGCATAGGCACCAATACATAACAACAAAGGAAAATGTATGGCTACTTGCGTAACCCCGGTTCTATGATAATAGGAGTGAGATGTCTCACATTGGGATTTGCTCAGCGTATCACTGGGCACGAAGAACCAATCACACAATGTCTGTTGGATCCAGACAGGTCGAGTGGTAAATGAGATGAGCCCCTCTCCTCCCTATAAGGTGCCACTCGCCCGCCCACTGGTCATTCTCAAGCATGCCTCTCTTCCTTGCACTCTTGTGAGCAGGGAAACGCAGTGAGACATCTCACTCCTATTATCAAAGAACCGGGGTTATGCAAGTAGCCCTGTTCTATTTCAAATACTTGTTTCGATGTCTCACATTGGGATATGGCCAACTCCCATATCGCAGACATGCTTTCTGAAGCCAGAGTAGTCCCAACAGTATCACCCCTCAAAGGCTCCGACACTGAGAACAGTATGTGCCAATGAGTGGTGGCCCAACATGCCACCTCACAAATATCTTGTAAAGAGATGCCTTTGAACAGAGTTGACAAGAGGACCCCCCTTACAGGAGGGCACCCAAGACACAAAGAGTTGGTCACTCTTACATCATGCGCAAAGCACATACTGGACATAAACAGTGGAGACACTCTTCTTCTGTAGAAGTGAAGGGAAGCAGGTGGAAAGCCATAAACTCTACGGCGATACAATTGTAATTGCAGCTGACCTTAGGCATAAATGCTGGGTTGGGTAACAACGTTACCTTGGATAACCCCAGGGCAAACTGTAGGCACGAATGGTGGACTGACAGTGCGTGGAGCTCACTCATTCGTTTATTTCAGCAAAGCCATCTTGAAGGAGCGATATTTCAACTCCACGCTTTTCAGTGGCTCAAAAGGTTGCTGTGAAATCACCTCAAGCACAATAGACATATCCCAAGATGGGGCTAAAGGCTTGGAGACTGGGCGTAAGCGATGCACTCCCTTCATGAAACGACATAACAGAGTATGTTTCCCTACTGTGTTGTTGTTGAACCCTATCGACAGGCCGGCTAGATAGACCTTAACAGTGGAGAAAGCCTTCCCTCTGTCCAAAAGGTCCTGAAAGAAGCATAAAACCTTGGATACAGAGAGGAACACCTACGTGAGAATTCTATTAATTGACTACAGCTCAGCATTCAACACCATAGTGGCCTCAAAGCTCATCACTAAGCTAAGGATCCTGGGACTAAACACCTCCCTCTGCAACTGGATCCTGGACTTCCTGACGGGTCGCCCCCAGGTGGTAAGGGTAGGTAACAACACATCTGCCACACTGATCCTCAACACGGGGGCCCCTCAGGGGTGCGTGCTCAGTCCCCTCCTGTACTCCCTGTTCACCCATGACTGCATGGCCAGGCACGACTCCAACACCATCATTAAGTTTGCCGACGACACAACAGTGGTAGGCCTGATCACCGACAACGATGAGACAGCCTATAGGGAGGTCAGAGACCTGGCCGTGTGGTACCAGGATAACAACCTCTCCCTCAACGTGACCAAGACAAAGGAGATGATTGTGGACTACAGATAAAAAAAGAGGACTGAGCACGCCCCCATTCTCATCGACAGGGCTGTAGTGGAACAGGTTGAGAGCTTCAAGTTCCTTGGTGTCCACATCACCAACGAACTATCATGGTCCAAACACACCAAGACAGTCGTGAAGAGGGCACGACAAAGCCTATTCCCCCTCAGGAGACTGAAAAGATTTGGCATGGGTCCTCAGATCCTCAAAAAATTATACAGCTGCACCATCGAGAGCATCCTAACTGGTTGCATCACCGCCTGGTATGGCAACTGCTTGGCCTCCAACCGCAAGGCACTACAGAGGGTAGTGCGTATGGCCCAGTACATCACTGGGGCCAAGCTTCCTGCCATCCAGGACCTCTATACCAGGCGGTGTCAGAGGAAGGCCCTCAAAATTGTCAAAGACTCCAGCCACCCTAGTCATAGACTGTTCTCTCTGCTACCGCATGGCAAGCGGAACCGGAGTGCCAAGTCTAGGTCCAAAAGACTTCTCAACAGCTTCTACCCCCAAGCCATAAGACTCCTGAATAGCTAATCATGGCTACCCAGACTATTTGCACTGCCCCCTCACCCCATATTTTTACGCTGCTGCTACTCTGTTAATTATTTATGCATAGTCACTTTAACTCTACCCACATGTACATATTACTTCAACTACCTCAACTAGCCGGTGCCCCCGCACATTGACTCTGCACCGGTACCCCACTGTATAAAACTGTTATTTTATTTTACTTCTGCTCTTTTTTTCTCAACACTTTTTTGTTGTTTTATTCTACTTTTTTATTAAAAATAAATGCACTGTTGGTTAAGGGCTGTAAGTAATCATTTCACTGTAATGTCTGCACCTGTTGTATTTGGCGCATGTGGCCAATAAAATTTTATTTTATTTGAATTGGTAAGGAATTATCTGTTTTAGGTCACACCACTTCTCAAAAATGCACCACTTGTTTCCATACAGTAAGCCTATAGAAAGGGCTCTGGCACTCTGGATAGTCTCAATGACTCCGAGAGGCAAGCCTGTCACATTTAACCTCTCACGAGCCAGGCCCAGAGGGCCATGGTTTCTGTGTGAGGGTGGAAAATCTCTCTATTTACTGGGTCAAGAGATCCCTGCATAGCGCTAGTTTCCAGGGCTCGTTGTAAAGGAGGAGAATCATCTCCACTAACCAGAGCTTCCCTGGCCATCAAGGGGCTACCAAAATGAGAAGTAATCCTACCCACATCTATACCCATACATCAATTTCAATCAATCAATTTTATTTTATATAGCCCTTCGTACATCAGCTAATATCTCGAAGTGCTGTACAGAAACCCAGCCTAAAACCCCAAACAGCTAGTAATGCAGGTGTAGAAGCACGGTGGCTAGGAAAAACTCCCTAGAAAGGCCAAAACCTAGGAAGAAACCTAGAGAGGAACCAGGCTATGAGGGGTGGCCAGTCCTCTTCTGGCTGTGCCGGGTGGAGGTTATAACAGAACCATGCCAAGATGTTCAAAAATGTTCATAAGTGACAAGCATGGTCAAATAATAATCAGGAATAAATCTCAGTTGGCTTTTCATAGCCGATCATTAAGAGTTGAAAACAGCAGGTCTGGGACAGGTAGGGGTTCCATAACCGCAGGCAGAACAGTTGAAACTGGAATAGCA